TAGATGCTGACCTCAAACAGAAGTATGTTGGTTAGGGTTCCCATTGCTGTGGTAAATATCAGGACCAGGTTGATTCCTCCTCACAGGTTGCGGTCACCATCAAGGAAGGCCAGGCAGTAATTCAGGGCAGGAACTGAGGCAGAGACCCTGGAGGAAGACTGTCTACTCACATGTTCCTCAGGGCTTGCTCATGATTTCTGGTACAACCCAGGACCCCCTGCTCAGGGTGGCACTGCCCACAATGACTTGGCCCTCCCTCATCTCTCGTTAATCAAGGAAATGCTCTACAAACTACAAACCTATGGGCAAGCTGATGGAGGCATCGTCTCAACTGAAGTTCTTTCCACTTGACTCTTGCCTGTGTTAAGCTGACCACCAAACAACTAACCAGGACGAGATGTATGTCACAGGTACACACAGAACGATGTCTTCACTAAGTCTACATAAAGTTAACCTTCCCAGTTCTCAGTAGTGGCTTAGTTTCACAAATCTGAACTGGAATCCCCAGGGAGTTTTTAAAAAATGTACCTCACTCCAGTTCTGCCCCAGAAAGTCTCACATTCTCCTCAAGAGGATTTCAGGATGCCACCAAGAGACCAGACCTCGGCAAGCAAGGTTAGGGCAGAGATGCTGCTTAGGCTTCTGTGTGGCTCAGCCCTGGAGTCCCCATCAGCTATGATGGTTTCCCATTGAGCGAGGCATACATAGTTCCGCATAGTGTTCAATCCCTGGAACCTAAATAAATGGTCTGGTACCACACTCTTCAGAACTTCAGTAGCTTCAGAACTTGGGAAGTCGGTCTCAAGGTCTACATCAGCCTGGACTACATAGTGAGCTTGAAGCCAGGGCAACACAATGACGCTGTCTTGGAAACCAATAGTGATGAAGATGAAGATAAGTCAAACTCCCCAGAGAGCACACAGCTATCTGGGAAATAGAAAAGGTAAACCACAAACACAAAACAGACTTGAAGTGGTTTTAAATGCTATTTTTTATGTCAATTTTTAAACTGGTATTTCAAAAAAAAAAAGTAATAATAAAGACATTCCATCTATGCCCCCACTACCGAGACTGAAACTGTACAGGCTTGACTGTTCAAATCAGAAATTCTAGATGAAAATGGTGAGAAAAGAGAGGGAAAGAAAAAAAATTTATGGAAGGGGGTTATGTCTATTTAGCCTCCACCAGGGACCTGCGTGGAGGGGCTGGCTGCCTCGCTGGGCTGCACCAGACAGGATAGGAGTCCGGGGAGGAGTGGCCACGGAGATGGGAAGGCCGGGCCCCCCACCGCGCCCAGCTCCAGGGAGCAGGCTGCAGGGCCCTGGCGGTCGCTGCACCCGCCTCCTCCTGCTCGGCCCGCTGGGCTCTCGGGTTCAATGAGGATTACCTCATGCTACAAGTATGCGGGGCAGCCTGAGAATCAAAGCGGGCGCTGGGCGGCTGGTTAACTGCCCCGCGCCTGAAACCCATCCTTCCCGCCCCCTCCCGCGCCCTCTCCCCACCCCGGCCCGCTGCTTTTGGTACCATTAAGGGTAGCATTCTGGGGGAGAGGAAAATCTGATCAAAACTGTGAGCCGCCACCGACAGATTTTCTATGGATTCTATAGAGGCCACCTGAATGATTTCCCTAATTAATGGATGACATCTTTGGCTGAAGGAGAGGCGATGGATTCGACTCTGTCTTCGTCTTTGTTAACCTTCTAATTAACTTTCGTAGGTCACCCAGGTCTCCCAAACCTAAAAAGTGAAGAGGCCCATTGTGCCGGGAGCAGTAAACTTACTTTTGCTGGTAGGGTACTTAAAAGGGAGACCGATTATAGCCTGAGAAAAATAACTCCATTTAAAAGCTTTGTGGCTGCAGAGAATACATAGGCCCCTCCCTCAGAAAATAATTGAAACACCTTTTATACCAATATTTCTATGCATAATAAAAACAAATTAGCAAAAACGCATCTAAATTCAGCAGCACTTTCAAATTACCTTTTTTGGAATGTAAGCCTCTGCAAGCCAACAAAAGGGTTTGGAGCGAAAACTGCAACTGCAGCAGCTCCCAGCCTTTATGAAGAGGGACAGCAAGACAGGCCAGCCAGGGGCTTGGGTACCTCGGAGTCACCTCCCCAGGAAACGCTCCCAGCATACCACCCTTGCTGGGGCTGCCTTCTGACTCGTCTGAGGGGCGAGGGGCGCAAAGAGGGTTTCAGCAGGATAGCCGGGCTTTTTCTCCATAGGTTGATATTCAGGGGTTGAGCTTTTAGGGTTTTGTTCTGTTTTTTTAGAGACAAGGTGACCTGGAATGCCTGGGCTCAAGGCATCCTCCTGTCTCAGCCTCTCCTTGGCTGGACGATGGACTGGCCACACAGCCTTCCCTGCAACAGGGTGGGTGTCTGCTTCTCCTGACCCTCTCCCTCTCTCCTCCCGTTCTTTTCTCTTCTGCAAGCTAAACACACACTCTACCACTGAACCACACTCCCCGCTACCAGCAATAAGTTTAAGGTTGTGAGTGAAGAGCGGACCACACTGAGTGCCAGAAGGGAGGATGACAGGGAACCATGAAGGTCAGCAACCAAGGCAGGGTGGGGTGGGGGCCGGGAAGGCTGGAGGGGAGGCTCAGTGATAGAATACCAGCCACAGGCTCGCAAGCTCGCTGTTTGATTTCCAGAGAGATCGAGAGACAGAAAGGAAGGAATCATTTTTTTCTGCACATGCTCCAAAATTTTACACAATTGAAATTAATGTCTAAAAAAACACTGAAGCCAAACCCAATAACAAAAAGCAATCCTGGCTGTTCTTCTTTCAGTCTTTCTCTCCCCTCCTCCCCCAGACAGGGTTTCTCTGTAGCTTTGGAGCCTGTCCTGGAACTAGCTCTTGTAGACCAGGCTGGCCTCGAACTCTCAGTGATCCACCTGTATCTGCCTCCCAAGTGCTGGGATTAAAGGCATGCGCCACCACTGCCCTTCTCTATTTTTCCGTCTTATAAAATGGTAACATAGAGTGCTGTATCCGTGGTTGAGAACACTTGTTCTTAAAGAGGACCGTGAATTGGAGGACCTGGGTTTGGTTTCTAGCACCCACAAGGTAGCTTACAATCATTCATTACTCCAGTTCCAAGGGATCTGATACTCTCTTCTGATCTTCAAGGGTACCAGGAATGCTTGCGATACAGACATGCAGACAGGCAGAACACCCACACGTGTAAAATAAAAGAAAGAGAGAGAGAGAGAGAGAAAGAGAGAGAGAGAGAGAGAGAGAGAGAGGTTGGTGAGACTATTCATCAAGTAAAGGCACCAAACCTGGGCTAATTTCAGTCTTTGGAAGCCCCATGGTGGAAGAAGAGAACCAAGCTCTGAACACTTTCATCTGACTACCCCACACACACACACACTGTGCAATGTGCACACAGACAATTAATAAATAAATGCATCTGGGCATTAGTGGCACGTGCCTTTAATCTCAGCAGAGGCAAGCAGATCTCTGTGAATTCGTGGCCAGCCTGGTCTAAGAAGCAAGTTCCAGGACAGTCCAAAGTTACACGAAAAAAACGTCTTGGGAAAAAAAAAAAGCCAATCAAATAAACAAACAGAAAAAGAAGAAATAACTATAAATTTTAAAAAAAAATTCTTTTACAAGCCAGGCAGTTGTAGCAAGTGCCTTTAATCCCAGGACAGACAGATCTCTTTGAGTTTGAGGCCAGCCTGGTCTGCAGAGTGAGTTCCAGGACAGCTAGGGCTATACAGAGAAATCCTGTCTCAGAAAAGGAAAAAAAAAATTGTACAATTAGGAACACATTCCTTTAGGAGTCCTGCCCACAAGCCTAGATATAAGGTGAGCGGCAACTTAAAGACATCTCTTTTCTGGAAAATAGCTTCTGCCTTCCTGTGCTGCAGTGGGAATTTAAAAGACTATATAGTCCTATAAGTGGTTATAATCCATTATCTGCCAAAATTCTGAATGCATACATTCAGAGCTAGGGGTTCAGCCTAATGTTAGAACAGGAGCAGTCATGAAACTTTGGGTTCCACCCACAGCATTGCAGGAAAATGTACAGCCTTAATTAAATTAATTGTATTTTCACATGTTCAAAATATGATGAGCATTAGTTATTCTTGGTAGCGTAAAGGGTCAAACGCTAAATATCTATCAATAGGAGTTTGATTTAGAAGACCTAATACCTCAATAGACTGACTAAACCCAGGGTTGAGGGTTCAGTTCAATGACAGAGTGCTAGTCCAGCTTATATAAGACCCTCGATTCAATCCTAGCATTGCCATAAATAGACAGATAAGTAGCTAGATATATTCAATCCCAGCATTGTGTTGATCATCTCAAGTACAAGGACAGCTTGAGCTACACAGCTAAAATACTGTATCTAAATAAATAAATAGAAGACGGCTGAGGAGATGGCTCATGTTTGTTTCAGGCATGAGGTAGGGTCCCTCCCCAGCACCAGCATCAAGCAGGACACAGCAGTGCACATCTGTAATCCCTGGGCTATTCTACAAGCAAGCAGGCAGACACGAGACCTCCTGGAAGCTCCCTGCAGCAGGGAAGCTCCCTGTCTTGCCTTGTGCAGTAGTGAACAAAAGAACTTGTTTCAGGCAAAATGGAAGACAAGGACTGATGTCTACTGTTGTGATCAGACCTACACACACACACACACACACACACACACACACATACACACACACATACACACACACATACACACATACACACACATACACACACATATACACACATACACACACATACACACACACATACACACACACATACACACACATACACACACACATACACACACACACATACACACACACACACACACACACACACAC